AAGGGGATGACGAAGGGACTGATAGAGGAAGCCCAAGAAGCAGACTCAGATTAATTTATGAATCAATCTAAAATGCTATTAAAGTCATTCTGGGAATAAAGATTAAATCCAGAAATATTAACCAATGAGTTAATATGGTGTAGTCATAAAAGTATGGGAGACATATGTCATGGGGCTTGTGTTTGAATTTCATTGGAAGCATATTTTTTGAAAGATGACACTTGTTGAGTGAGTGCATGCTACAATGTGGACACATATCTTGCTAAGTTGACTACAAGTTTGGAAGTTTGTGGACATGATAAGGAAGTTGCACGTGAATTCTTCTACGCATCGCATCTTCTTTCTCATTTAAATACTTTGCCATGTATCTCAAATCATTCTTAGCAGAAGAAAATTTCGGAGATACATTATTTCACTCAAGCAAGAATCAGCAGCAAATCTTTTAGAAGATTTCATCATTTTGAATATGTCAAGATAAGGAAATTATTTTTTGGAGAAGATTCAGCTGATGAGCCGACATATACGACTTTTGAAGATTTGTCAGGTGAGGATTTTCAAACTCACTGTAAGAAGCCCATCTCTTGCATTAAATCACCACAATGCAAGTTGGCAATAATGTGTAGCTGATCAAGATGAACGATCAAGATCAACTGATGCTACAACGATAATATAGCTTCTTCAGCTATATATACCAAGAAGACTTGAAGATACAAGCAGAGAGGACGAGGAAAATACATACAAAGAAAAAGAGCAAAGAGGCAATACACAAAGAGCAAAATTTCGAAAATATCTAGTCTGAGCTTTCACGAGATATTCTTCAAGTCATTAGAAGAGAAATTTGTTTTCTCTATTTCTTTTCTCTACTGTGTGTAGAAAGAGGGTTGAGTGTAGCTTTGTGCAAGACACTACCTTGTTGAGTGTAGCTTTGTGCGAGACACTCGTGGTTGCTGAGTGTAGCTGTGTGCGAGACGCTCGGTGGTGCTAAGTGTAGCTGGGTGCAAGACACTTAGTTGGTGTAGGAGTATAGCTTTGTGCAAGATACTCGGGAGTATAGCTTTGTGCGAGATACTCGGGATTGAGTGTAGCTGTGTGCAAAACACTCGGATCGGGAAGTGCTTGTGTAGCACTTGATTCACTATTTGTATCTGGGTGAACGCGATAGTGAATTTCCTCCTTGGAGTGAAAGGAGAAGAGTGGACTAGGAGGATTACACCACCTCTGAACCACTATAAATCGCCTCTCTCATTTACATACTGCTCTTATTTATCTTTGCATGCATACTAACCCATTTACTATTCATCTTATTTATTTATCTTATTGTTTGGGTTATGTGACCTTACAAGTACATGCAGACACTATTCCATTTGGATTCATTCATTGATTCACACGTGATATCACACACATATTGAGTGAACCATCTCTTTAAATATTCATTTGTTGTCTTGCATGTTGAATATTTGACTGAGCCATCTTATATTGTACGAAATTATTCATCTGGGTCTAGTAGCTTTCACGAATGCATGTGAGCATAAATTTGCATACTTATTATTTGAGCCATTACCAGCATATCCATCATATTGCATGTGATATATCTCTTTGATTTTACGTAACACTTGGTTGATATATTATTCCGCTGCACATCTAAATTACATATCTTGTTATTTAGAGTTGAAATTACCAAAGTGTGATTTAGTTGTGAAAAAGTTTAAAAAGTCTATTCACCCCCCCCCCCCACTCTAGACTTTTTACCACCCTATCGGGACCAACATGAAGTTCTTCTAGCAAGTCGTGATATGCTACTACATTCATAATCTTTTAAGTATGTAGGTGTAACCTTTTGTCTAACTGACCTCCTCACATGTTGGTGAGGTGACTACAATATTGTACTGGAGTCAGTTTGTTCCTGAGGCACCACAATGTGAGGGGGCTCCTCTTCCAACGTAGTCGTATATCCAGTAGGTAAAACAAGCTGAGAATCCTTTGATTTGTCAATTTCAACTTCATTATGCATAAATGGAAACAAATGCTCATAAAATACATCTCTAGACACAAGGAATTCTTTAGTGTGCATATCATAGAGTTTATAACCTTTTGTACCACTCGGATATCCAATGAAAATGCATTTCCTAGCTCTGGGAGAAAACTTGGTCTTATGCCCTCCATGCACTACGACATAGGCCAAACAACAAAAAAAAAAAAACATTAAGATGTTGGTACTGAGGAACCTTTCCAAATATGACTTGGTATGGTATTCTACTTTGGATGGCTGTAGAGGGGAGCCTGTTGATGAGATATACATCATGCAAGATACAATCACCCCAAAAACACCCAGGTAAGCAAGCTTGAAACCTCAAGGCCCTAGCTACTGATAGAATGTGTCCATGTTTCCTTTTCACCACACTATTCTGCTGTGGAGTATGGACACAAGAAGTTTGGTGTATTATTCCTTAGACTATTATCAACAGATACTTGCGCTTGGTAGCCACATGATCCAAAGAGTGTTGAGTTTCTAAGTTTGAATGAGCTAAGCAGTGCCTGGAAAAGCTCTTGACAGATGTTGAATTTAAGATTGTGCTTGAGGGGGGTTTGTAACACCCCCAAAATTTTGGCATAATTTAAGGCATTTTAAACTTAAGGAATACGATAAAGTCTAACATTAATATAAGAATAAAGCGGAAGCTAAACATAATAGTGGGGATGTTATGCCACATCTAAGCTAAGAACTTAGATGCACAGGCTACCAATCAACTAGTCATAATCCATAAATCACAACTGTATAACATAATGGCTGACATGCCGTCAAGCTAAAGTCTAATACTAACTAAAACTAAGAATCACAACTCCGTCTAGCGCGCTCTTGTATCTACAAGTCTGTACCTGAAAAACATATGGTGTAGCAACCGTTAGCGAAAATTGCTAAGTATCCCACTCAAACGCGTTGAGTACAATATATATAGATATAAGAAAATCATTTTGAGACTGGGAATACATAGATATAGTCTTAACAACTCTAGCTTTAAAATCAGGACATTGACTCATTGGAGGATACACTCACCAACGTAATCAAACTCATAACATACCATTAGAATTGACAGGATAAGACAACATTAAGACACAAGGACACAAACCATGACCACATTACACATTCCATGTTCCAACCTTATGCCAAGTTCCAACCTTATAACACCGCTCCATCCTTATATCAGTTCTAATCTGTACCTTCGAGACCACCCTATACACCAGTCTAACCTTATCCCTCCGGAGCCATGCTCGCCGCCTGCTTTTCCGCATGCTTTTCATAATCATAATCATAATTGCACCGCAGCGCAATAACATAAGCACACGCATTGCATCATCATGGGCACCGCAGTGCCATAACATAAGTACCGCAGTACATCATCATAAGCACCGCAGTGCATCATCCGCCAATCATTATGAGCACGCAGCTTAGTACCACCAATCTCATCACATTCATCACACATGGACATGAATCATAACATTTAAAGCTCAACAATGATATATTCAATGGATAAACAAGGAAAAGTACTCATACGTACAAGCTCACGACGACAAGTGACATCAAGATCATCATAAGACTCATAAGAAACATCATAGACTTTACTTTAATCCAACGAATGACAAAGTTGGACCACATACATGATTCAAGACTCGCAAATCCTATTACGGTACTTAGGACATCGTTCTAGACTTACAAAACATCAAAGAAGACACTTCGGTACTCGGGGATCGACCAAACGGACGCCACCGAACCACCGCGCACCACGTACCAGCGGGTGGTGCGGCGGGTGGACGACCACCCGCCAGAACAGTACCCCCGTACCAACGGGTGGTCAGGTGGGGGTTCGACCCCCCTACCGGCTACTCGCTGGTACATACACAATTGGCGAAATTTCCCCTTCGGGAATTAATCCAAAACACCCAAATTCAAGTCCAAACACCTCAAAACTCACATCAACAATAATAGGGACTTGAATACATGGAATAACTCATAGCATAACATTATTGAACCCTAAATACAAGCTTTAAACATGCATAAACACAAGAATATGCATATAATCACTAAAGAACATCAAGAACATCCAGAAATCACATTATAGCAAAGAAAATAGGTTTTGTAAGACATGGGTTACCTTTTAGCCTAATTAAACTTCCCACAACTCCTAAGATCCTTCTTCAAGGTCCTCCTCCACGTGATCTTTCCTAAGCTTGGTGATGGGGGAAAAGATCAAAACTCGGTAGCCTTCAGTGGTGGAAAAGATGAAGAACTCTCTTGGCTAGGTTTGAGGGGGAGAATTTCAAGTATGAGGGACTGAGAGATAGTGATAGCGTTCTAATGCTTTCCAATTTCTTTTAAATAGGTTTAGGATTCCTAATGCAAATCTGAAAAGTAAGCGGGCTCTCCTTATTTTATTTAAAAAGCCCAAGGTTGTATTTTAGATTAAAGGTCCACGGTCCAACATCATTAAGTCAAGGTCCAGCCCATGGATTATATCAATAAATTAAGGGATTTTGGCCAAATTAAATCCATTTAACTACTTTTAACGGGAATCATTAAACATAATGATGAGACAAATAAGAATTAATTAAACGATTGATTCGAGTTTGAGGATTAAATTTAGGGGGTGTTACAGGGTTTCTGTGGACGTTAATCGCTATATTTTGGCTTCCAAAGTTGGTTTTTCCACGAGAAGTTTAAGATTTTGGCTACCGGAGTTGGTTTTTCCACGAGAAGTTTAAGATAGAAAGGGTAAATGTAGATTCTAGGAAGGAAGCTGGAAAACTGAATATTTTAATGACTGAATTGGTAGCTTGTGGTAAGGTAGGTTATGAAGGTATGAAGGTTTTTTGATGGTCTTGAATTACTTGTATACTGGAAAGCTCAAAACTTGTGTCCCAAAAGTTTTGTTAAACAGTGAATAGGTTTGAAGACTATATACACGTTCATGTATTTACTGTGTTGAATGTACAGGAGAAAGGAGCTACTTATACAATACAAGCTAAGGTAGGAATTTAGCCACATAATTCAAACATTTAAATCTAAGGGCCTAGAGTGATTCTCTCACCCGCCACCTATTTCCTCTAATACTCCTCTCAAGCTGGAGCATAGATATCCAACATGTCCAACTTGTTACATATATATATATGAAAGCTGACTCCCACTTAGCCCTTTTGTGAAAACGTCAGCTAGCAGATCACCACTATGAATGTGCACAACATATATCAACCCTTGTTGTACTTTCTCTCAAATAAAATGACAATCAACCTCAATATGTTTGTTTGTGATATGTATAGTCGCATGATTGTCACACCATAACCTAATAGGTAACTTCACCACCACACGTACCTATTTTATAATATTATGCACCCAAATTATTTCACTAGTCACATGAGGCATAGCTCTATACTCGGGTTCTGAACTTGACCGAGCCACAACGTCTGCTTCTTACTCTTCTACGAGACTAAATTGCCTCCCACAATATCCTGTCATCGACCTCATGTTGCTAGGCGACCCAACCCAATTTGCATCGGAGAACGCCTCAACACTTGTGTGTCCATGATCAGCATAGAGGACTCCTTTCTCAGCGGTGGTTGAGGTAGAGGAAGTAGGTAGCTATGTAGGCAGCCACGATTTTGGTTATGTGGGTGGAGCTAACAGTGGATAATGCGGTGGAACCAGGTATGGTAGTGATGGTGTTGGAGGCTATGCTGTTGAGGGAGACCATGGTGCTGGGTACAAAAGTGGAGGCGATGAAAGAGGGTGAGTTGGTGGCCTAGTAGATATGGCCCGGGAGGAGAACATGGTGGTGGATATGGTGGTGGTGCTTTTGGTTGAGCACATGGTGGCGAATATGATGGAGGTGAAGGAGCAAGGGGAATATGACGCTCTTGATCTGGACAATGAGCTTCAGTTAGACCGAGGATTTTTTTTTTAATATTTTAATTAAATTATTTAAATTAAAAAATAGATTTTCTAAAGTTTAATTAATTTTTAAATTACAAAATATAAATTTTTATCAATTATCTAAGGTAACCTGTTAATTAATTTTATTGCATTAAAATGTGGAGTTAACACGTCTAATTTAAGTTTTTCTTAATTTAGGTGCTTAATTGCGTTTTGGGATTGACGGGTTCACACTAGGGGTGTATACGAATCGAATCGAGTCAAATATCTCATTATTCGATTCGAATTTGACTATATATTCGAATATTCGTATTCGTATTTGTTTAATATTCGAATCTCAAATTTGATTCGTATTCAATTCGACCAGTTTATTCGAATATATTCGATTCGACTCGAATATTCGAATTCGAATTCGAAATGGCTAACTTAATTTTTTACAAAATTTTCCAATAAATTAAGAAAAAATGTAATAAAAATTTATATTTAAATAGCGTAAAATATTATATTAATACACTAATCAAGAATCACATTAAAATAACAACAAAAAGTCAATCATCAAAGTCATGTATACCATTATCATTAACCTCCACATTAGCATCCAAGTCATATACATTATCCCCTTCAAGGCCTCCATCATTAACTTCATTAAAATCAACATAATTTATTTCATCATATTCTCTAACATAATCTCCTTGTTTTTGCTCATTTGAATTTGAAGATTGAATAACCAAGGAAGAATCTACTGCCCACAAATTCAATAATTTCTTTTTGAGTACTATAATAATATAAAATAAAAAATTTTCAAATTCAATTCACATAATCACAACTAGTAATTAGTTAAATAATAACAAAACATACTGTAACAATTACTAATTACTATCATATATATATATATATATATATATATATATATATATATATATATATATAACAAAACATACTGTAATTCCGTAATAGAGAAATAACAAATTAGATTTATATTTTTACAAATAATAATGTAGAGTGTTGTACTATTGTTACCATTGTTATCGGTCGTCGTCGTGCCCTTGCCGTCCATTACTGCCGGAACCGTCACAGATCTAGAATGTTGGCGTTGGAGCTTCTCTGGCGTTCCCTTCAACCAAACGCCCTGTTAGGGTTCATTTTTAGTTTTTTAATACAAAAATATAATATACTATAATATTATATTTATATATATATATATATATATATATATATATATATATATATATATATATTCCGATTCGTATTCGGATTCGAATAAATTTCGAATCAAAATAGGTATTCGGATTCGAATCAACATATTCGAATTCGAATCACGAATCGAATTAAAATTATTTGATTTGTATACACCCCAAGTTCACACAATGCAATTATAATAAAATTTTGAGGTGTACATTTGAAATAGTGAGTATCTAACCATCCCTAGCCCTAATAGGTTAGATTTTTGTTTTGTTTTTTTTTTTTTGATATACCCAGAATTTTCATCGTCGGACACAATGACTAATCCCCTATTTTTCTCTTTTATGTAAGGATCGAACCCTTTACTTTTGGTTAAGGCTGGATGAGTCCTTTCCACTCAGCCCTAATAGGTTATAAGTACGTATGGAGTAATAATTTAACGTAGAGGTCATTATCTAAAAAAAATTCATTGGTGTTTTGCCATCATATTCCTAGGTAGGAATTTTCGTATATGAAATTTGAAAAGTTTAAATCATCCATCACCTTTAACTTACTTTTTAAATCTTTAATTACTTTTAGTACACTAGACAACTTGGGCACCACTCGTTATGCCGTGGAACCGTGTCCACCTTGCAAGGTGGACATGATTCTATGTTCATAATTATTCACACGATTCTATGTTCATAATTATTGTATTATATGTTCTTAATTATAAAAGCTATATATTCATGATTTTTGAACTTTATATTCATAATTATTGAACTCTATATTCTCAATTACAGAACTCTATGTTCATAATTACTGAACTATATGTTTATAATTATAAAGCTATATATTCATAATTTTTGAATTTCATATTCACAATTATTGAATCTCTATATTCATAATTACAGAACTATATATTCATAATTATGTTCACAACTCTATATTCATAAATATAGAGCTATATGTTCATAATTTTTGAACTATATATTCATAATTATGAATAGTTTTGGAACCGGCATCACCCCCACTAATCTATTAACTAAGAAATTTCCTTTTGAGTTTGGCCATCTTTGACAGAAACATTCCTACCTTGACTTTAAAAAGATATAATTGGCTGATAAGTCGTATTCTAAACACCCCCAGGTAAAAAATTCTGCTGCACTATTGCAATTTCTGCTGCAAATTTCTTGTTCAAATTGCTGCTGTTGTCCTGTTCATATTGCTGCTCCACATTGACTTTATTATTCACAGATCTAAGAAAAAGTCAAAAGTCATAACATACTCAAAGCGGACGCTCAGAGTACGCATAATTTAAGAGTGAGATAATGTCCTCCTTTGAGGGCTTTAAATGTACCAAAAAAAAGTAGATTTTAAAATAAAAGTTGTATATTTTCAATTGCATAAGTTTGGTTGACCTTATTATTATTATTATTATTATTAAAAGTTACTTTGAGAAAAAAAAAATACCCACCACCCGTCCTTTGTAAGATTGCACAAGATATTTTAAGATTCGCAACCTAAATAGAGGGAATAAAAAAAGGTGTAGTTGGAATTTTAAAAGAAAAGAAAAGAAAAAAAATTCTGACACCGAGAGAACGAACCCGAGCCCGATGGATTCGCTCTCTGTCTCTTCTTCCCTGGCGACCGATGGAGGACCAGGATCTTCTCGAAAGAAGCACCAAGAAGACCAAACGAAACCGTGATTCGACCGGAATATCCATGCCACCGCCAACAGATGAATTCGTGCAAGAAACCCCAAACGCAGTAGGCGTCTCTACCCCAGATTCCTCTCAATGGAGAACTCCTGATGCAACTCCAAGTCAAGCTTGGGCAAGAAGAAATTCTGCAAGTCTCCCTGATAAAGAAGCCGTTTCCGATGACGACTCCATGGAAGCCGACGGAACATCCATCTTTCCGGTGATTAAAGTAACAAAGGAGGAAAAAGAGAGATTAAGACGCCCTTGGCGCCGCTCACTCATCATCAAAGTTCTTGGAAGAACGGTAGGGTACTCTTATCTACTGCAAAGGTTACAGCGTATGTGGAAGCCGGAATCTACTTTCGACCTAATTGCTCTGTCGCATGATTTTTACATAGCGAAATTCGAATCCCTAAGGGATTACGAAATAGCTAAGTATGAAGGTCCATGGGTAATTTTGGATCACTATCTGGTGGTTCAAGAATGGGAGCCTAATTTCATCCCGTCGCGGTGCGTCACCAAGAAACTCCTCGTGTGGATACGATTCCCGGATTTACCAATAGAATACTTCAAAGATGAGTTTCTTAGGAAGATCGGAAAAACAATAGGTCGTCCAGTCACTACCAGCCTGGCATCAAAAGGAAAATATGCGAGAGTATGCGTAGAAATTGACATTTCAAAACCCCTCCTGTCCAAGTTTGTTTTACATTTTGAAGAATGGCCCATAAAATATGAGGGAATACATCAAATCTGCTTCAAATGTGGGTTGTATGGTCACCGGCAGGAATTCTGTGGGGAGCAAGCATCCGAAGGTGGCAGCACTTCCGGGCAAAACGGAGCCCCTGCGGAGGTTGCCAAACCAGTAAGCAAGTCCACCGAGAAGTTCGGTTCTTGGATGTTAGTCACTCGCAAGGAACGCAGGGGTCGCTCCAGAAACAATCCACAAAATGCCACACATCCAGTAGGTGATAGACACCAAGCTGCCATTTCTGTCAACCAACCGAACGAAGGATTAGAGGACCAATCTCGCTTTGCCACCTTACAGAACCTGGGTGAAGACGAGCAAGCCAATAATGAACAGGACGGGGTTGCGGACCAGCATCAAACACCAGCAAATTTAGCAAGAATTAGAACTAATTACCGCAGCGGTCGGAGGCAATCAACTCACGGCACTTCGGATCCATTACAAACACAAAAGGGATCAAACAGATACCCAAATTATACCGCAGTTTTTCCCCCTAGAGAACAGGTTTTCCTCCACAATTCCCCATCAGCAATACCACGAGGAGGTCATAGAGGTGGAGCTAGAAGTCAGGGGGAAGGGGTG